GGCGGCCGCGATCCTTGCCTTCGCGCTGGGGCGAGACAGGGGCCGAGCTAGGGCAACTCCGGAGCAGGCCCCGCGGAAAGTTGTCCTCGTCCCGCCCGGCTGCCTAGACTCTGCTCCCGGCCCGCGGAGGCCGTGCGAGCCAAGACTGCCTCCCGGCGCTGCCCGTCACCAACCCCAAGTTCAAGAGAAACGATAACCATTGCGTTACTTGCCTGGTGAGGCAGGATTTGGCCGAGTCTCGTTTCTGGTGCCCACGACGCACGGTCCAGGGTCCGAGGGCGGCTGGGCCTGTGGACCGGGCGTCCAGAGTGCCTGCGGTGCCCTGGAGCTTGCTCTCGCTCCTCTCCCACTCCCTCCGTCTCTCTCCGCGTTCTCCTTCACGCGCCCTGTCTCCCTCTCTTTGCCTGCTGCCTCTGCCCTCGACTCCCTGCCTCTCTGACTGTATGGGGAGTACGATTTAGAATTTGTACATAGAAAGGTTTTCTTTTCTTTCTTTTTTTGGTCTATTTTAATCGTGTTCGTTTCACCTTTTAAGTGACCAGAAGATGAGAGCGCGTTTGCGCGTTTATTTGGGCATAGGGGCGAGGGCAAGGAGCCCCTGCCACCCCCAGTCGCCTCCTCGCCATCAGCAGCGTACAATGGGCCAGCGATCGCGGAGTGCATTGACAGTCTTTCCATCATTCGAGCTGGAGGAGCTGTGGGGCATGCACGGGAAAGCCTTGTAGTCTGCTCTTTAAAATCATCGCTCGTCACTAGGCGGTCGCCGACTCCCGGCTTGAAGGCTGGAGAGACCGGGAAGCGCAAAACATCCCCCAAACACGCAGTGCTTCCCAAACCCCTCCCTGGTGAGACCTCAAGTGAGAACCAGTATTAAAAACAAACCCTACCTCTTTCAATACAGCGTGGCCATTTACTTCCACCTTTACCTGAGGGCGTGTTGGCTCTAGGAATGCTCGAGCTGAGACAAACTTTTACGCCCTCGCGAGTCCAGGGGCGGGCGGGCAAAAGCGGCTCCCACCCCCGGCGGCGGCAGCGGCGGCTTTGTCACTCCGCGCCGCTCCGCGCCCGCCTGAGCCTGCCTAGGGGAGCGATCTCAAAACGAGGGGGGTGCGAGTATGCGATTGGAGAATATGTAACTAATAGAAGTATCATTTTCCCCCAGTACGATCTTTCAAGGAAAAAAAAATCCATTGAAAGAATTTTCAAAGTGCTGTCTTCGTTTGGAGAAAAGGCACAGGCTGCCTGCGGGGAGGGGAGGAGGGACTCGGCGTTGTGCCGCCCGGGAGCGGCTCCCGTCCGCTAGGTGGCAGCCGGAGCCAGCGATTCCTGCGAGCCCCGCCGCGGGACCCGCTCCTCCTGCTGCCCCTCCTCCCGCGCCCAATCACCTTCAGGAACCGGGGTCTGCCCCTCTCTCTCTCTCTCTCTCTCTCTCCTCTCTCTCTCTCTCTCTCTCTCTCTCTCTCTCTCTCTCTCTCTCTCTCTCTCTCCTCTCTCTCTCCTCTCTCTCTCCTCTCTCTCTCTCTCTCCTCTCTCTCTCTCTCTCTCCTCTCTCTCTCCTCTCTCTCCTCTCTCTCTCTCTCCTCTCTCTCTCTCTCTCTCTCTCCTCTCTCTCTCTCTCTCTCTCTCCCCCTCCCCCTCTCTCTCCCTCTCCTCTCCTCTCCTCTCTCCTCTCTCCTCCTCTCTCCTCTCTCCTCTCTCCCCTCTCCCCTCTCTCCTCTCTCTCTCTGTCTCTCCCCCCTCTCTCTGTCTCTCCTCTCTCTCTCTCTCCTCTCTCTCTCTCTACTCTCTCTCTCTCCTCTCTCCTCTTTCTCCTCTCTCCTCTCTCCTCTCTCTCTTCTCTCTTCTCTCTCCTCTCTCTCTCTCCTCTCTCCCCCCTCTCTTCTCTCTCTCTCTCTCTCCTCTCTCTCTCTCTCTCTCTCTCCCCCCCCGTCTCTCCTCTCTCGGTCTCTTTCTCTCTCTTCCCCCCATCTCTCTCTCTCTCTCTCCTCTTTCTCGGCCTCTCTCTCCTCTCTCTCGGTCTCTCTATCTCTTTCGATCTCTCTCCTCCCTCCTCTCTCCTCGCCCTCTCCCCCTCCCCCCCTCCGTCTTCTCGTCGGTTTGCTCTTTTCCCGGGACTGACTTGGCCACACTAATCGTCCCCCTCCCGCAGCAATACGAAGACTTACTACTGTTTTATTAATGATTATTGAAGCGTTGTTTGTAGTTTTGAACAGTCAGGTGATTTTTTAAAAAAAAGAAGAAGAAGAAGGAAAAATTGGATTGATTGGAAAGTTTATTTTTAAAATCATCTTTGGGATAAATAGGAACCCTTGACTCCGATCGAATTTGTGCCAATAACTGCAAATTCCAGGAGTGTGCTTTGTCGTCATTAAACCTTTTAAACCAAGATATACTTTGGATCAAAATATAGGGAGATCCTACCTGTTTCTTAAAAGGATAGAAAATGAGCAGAATCCAGACTTGGATTGTGCTTATATGTGAGAGAAGAAAACAATCCAAATCCAGCATATTTCACGAATCATTAAAATGGTGGGGGTTTCATCCCCATTAAAAATTTTTTCCAAACATTTTCAATGATACTCTCTCCACGCTCATAAAATCTAATTTTTAAAACTTTTCAAAAGAAATCAAAATAATTTCCTTCTAATTCTTTTACCCATCGCTAGGCGTTCTCCCCCTAGTCATCCCTTCCCCCTCTGGGGTGTGTGCGTGCGTGTGTGTGTGTGTGTGTGTGTGACCATAGACGACCCATACTAATCAGGTCTCAGAGTAAATAGCAGCGCAGGACGATCTCAATGTAAATTGCGCTTGTCAGAAACACACCCCCCTCTCTCACTTTCTCTCCTCCTCCCCACACCATCCCAGTCTGTAGGTAGCTAAGAGGGAAGGGGGGGGAAAAAGAAAGAAAGCAAAAGAGGAGGGGGGAGGGGCTCTCCAACCAATGGCGTGCGGGAGGCTTGGCTAACCTTAGCCTCCCATTTTCTCTCCCCCCCGATTCAGGGCTCTGACCAGTCAGTCGCCTTTGATTATCAGTTGCCAGCAGCCCTTCTCTTGGCTCCTTGACACGAGCTCCATATAAGGCAGCGATCTCCATAGAAACGTGTCAGTTTCAATAGTAGTGTCAAAGTTCACTATATACAGACATTCGCGCAGATCCCCCTTTCGGAAACATTGCTCTGCGAGTCCACCCGTTTAAACGCATTCAATTTTTGGGTCTCTCCTCCCTCTCTCTCTCTCTCTCTCTCTCTCTCTCTCTCTCTCTCTCTCTCTCTCTCCCCCTCTCTCCTCTCTCCTCTCTTTCTCCCCCCTCTCTTTCCCTCCTCTCTTCTCTCTGTCTCCTGTCTTCTCTGAACCTCTCTTCTCTCTCTCCTTCCTCTTTTCTTACATATTTTACTAGTTGTTTTCCCCTTCTTCTCCTTCTTTCTTTTCTTTTTCTCCCTCCTCCTTGTGTCTTTTACTCCATTCCTGCAGAAGAGAGAGGGCTAAACTTAAAGAAAAAAAAGGAGGAGGAGGAGGAGGCACCCCCTTCGTATTCTTCTTATCGTTATTTTATACATATATGATTTTTTTTGGAGGGAGGGTGTTGGTTCCCGGCTGAAGAGCACTTATTTAAAATACTAAAAAAAGAACATTTTTGGGCGATCTCCAGGGTTTTTTTAACTAGCTCTGTGTGTTATAGCAGAAGAAGCCGAAGAAGGAGCAAGAAAGAGGAAAAGAAGAGGATTATTTATTCGACCTACTTTGGATGTCTCTCTCGCTTTTCCTTTTTCCTTTTTTTTTTTTTTTTTTTTTTGGCAATTATTTTCTTCTGATTTTTATTTTTTCTATTTCGCTGTGAATTCGTCGCCGGCGTGAATTATCCCGTATTTTTCTCCCCCTTCCGTCACCTCCCGAAAGAAGAAGGCAGCGAGAGCCCGGCGCCACCGGTACAACAAAAAGAGCAAAGTGTGTGATCTTCCTCGCCGGTTGCCTCCCGCTCTCCAGCGCTGCCTTCCTGAATGGCTGGCTGCGTCCGGCCCTGGACCTGGCCCCCCGACACCCGCGCGCCCTGATCGCCGCCGGCAGCCTCGCCCAGCGCCCTGCTTGGCTCACCGCGCTCCCCACACTCCCGAGCCCGGCGAGGGCTCCCGCCGGGACAGCGGCGGCGGCGCGGGCGGCCCCGGCCTCCGCTCGCGCTCCGGCTGCGGCCCCGACTCCTGCTCGGACTCCGGCCCGGGCCCCGGCTCCTCCAGCGGCGCTCGCCGCAGCAGCTCCGGCGGCAGCTCCAGCGGCGCCTGCAGCCGCGACCTCCGCCTCCTCCTCCGCCGCCGCCGCCTCCGCCCTCGCCGGCTTCCTCTATGTCGGCTCAGCCCGCGCGCTGCGCGTAGCCCGAGCGGCCGGCGGGCGGGCGGGCGCCCGGCGCGGGTGAGCGAGTGTGTGTGCGAGTGTGTGTGTGCGCGGGGGTGCGGGCGAGGCGGAGGGCGAGTGTGTGCGCGCGCCGTGGCCCATGCCCGCCGCCCCCGGCGCTGCGCCCCGCGCCGCTCCCGGCTGCCGCCTGTGCCATTTCTGATTTTGCAACTTGGGGAAGAAGAAAAAAGCGAGAGAAGGGAGCTTGCTCGCCGGGGGGTGGGGAGGGGGGGAAGGAGAGCGCGGCCCCCCCCAGGAACGGAGCGCGGGGGGAGCGGGCGAGGGGAGCAGGGGTGTTGGGGGGGGAGCCTGAGAGCCTGGGGGGGCTGCAAAAAGAGAGAAAGAAAACAGCAGGAACCACAACAAAACGCCAGCAGGGCGGGCGGGCGCGCAGCAGCAGCGGGGCGGCCGAGGCAGTAGCGGCGGCAGCGGCGGCGGCGGCGGAGGCAGCGGCCGGTGCCCGGCTCGGGCTCGGCTCCTGCGACCCCGGGGCGCCCGGCGGGCCCCCCGCCCCCTCCCCCTCCCCCCTTCCCCTTCCCTTTCCCCTCCCAGCGCGCCCGCGCGCCCCGCGGCCCTCGGCGAGCAGCTCGGCTCCCCCCAGCGCTCCCCGGGCCCAAAGATATGGCAATGGTAGTTAGCAGCTGGCGAGATCCGCAGGACGACGTGGCCGGGGGCAACCCCGGCGGCCCCAACCCCGCAGCGCAGGCGGCCCGCGGCGGCGGCGGCGGCGCCGGCGAGCAGCAGCAGCAGGCGGGCTCGGGCGCGCCGCACACGCCGCAGACCCCGGGCCAGCCCGGAGCGCCCGCCACCCCCGGCACGGCGGGGGACAAGGGCCAGGGCCCGCCCGGTTCGGGCCAGAGCCAGCAGCACATCGAGTGCGTGGTGTGCGGGGACAAGTCGAGCGGCAAGCACTACGGCCAATTCACCTGCGAGGGCTGCAAAAGTTTCTTCAAGAGGAGCGTCCGCAGGAACTTAACTTACACATGCCGTGCCAACAGGAACTGTCCCATCGACCAGCATCACCGCAACCAGTGCCAATACTGCCGCCTCAAGAAGTGCCTCAAAGTGGGCATGAGGCGGGAAGGTGAATATTTCTTCTCTGCTTCTCTCCCCGCGCTTCGCTCTCCTCCCTGGCTCGCTCTTTCTTTCTCGCCCGGGTGGTTGCTGTGTGGGGCTGGGGCTCGTGTGGTCCCGGCCGGTCCCAGCTTCCCTTCTCCCCGCTGCCTTCCTCCCCCGGCGTCTCCCCCCCTCCCCAGCTCTCTGCCGCTGCCTCCCCCTCCCGGCCTGCGCTCCTCTCCCCGGCTCCCCCACCCCGCCCGCTGCCTGCTCAGGATTGTGTCCCTGGGATCGTGAGCTGTGGCTTAAAATCCCCTTCTTCCCTCTGTCTTGGATGTGCTCGATGTGTGTCTCCCGCGTGTGCGTGAGGCTGCTTGGGGCTGTGCTGGCATGAACTTGGGGAGGGGTGCTTATTTCCTCCAGAAAACTCTGTTTCTGTGTTTTTTCATTCCACTTTTCCCTCCACCTCTTCATACCCTTTATTTAAAATGGGGGAGGGCTGGGGGCTGGAGTACCCTGAACCATAGATTCATTGCTGCCATCATCCTTTTGGAAGCTTAGCTTGGAAAAAGAGGAGTGAGATTTATTGCACTTGTAGGTCTAATTAGGGGGGAAGGGGGGCTTCTGGCCCGTTCACTGGTTCCCTCTCTTCTTCACGGAGCTGGGGCCGCCTCCTCCAGAGCTGTGGCCTTGTTTTCACCCCTCTACTTTGAAAGGAAAGTTTGTGACTGAACCGTGCTTTCATAGTTCTGTCATTTTTTTTAAAGCATGATACTCGTTTTATTTCTTCATCAAACTCCACCCTCTCCTTAAATACTGCATACAAATTACAATTTACAACGGCATTTACCGATCCTTCTGATTTGGCCATAATGCATAGACTGCAGCTGGCATGAGCTTCCACATCATTTAATCCCTGTGTTGTATGGGTTTGTGTTTTTTTTTAAAAAAAAAACACAACTTTTGATGTTGTATTTGGATCTGCTTCATGTTCATGTGGCAAGAGATGCAGTACTTTTCTTATAAATATATTTTGCCGTTTACAGTTAAAGTTTATCTCTTGACAATCATTAAAGATGTCTTATAGTCAAATTAGAGAACCAGTCAATTTTGCAGAATGCAGATTACTCTTTCTTGTAATTGACTTTAAAATTATATTTTATATGCCAGAAGAAAAGAAATTGAATTCCTTCAGATCTGAAGGAGCAGGCAAATATGACTACTTCATTTCTAGCTCCAGGGAGATTTTGCAGGCATCTGGAAAAAAAAAAAAAAAAAACTTTAAATTGTACTCTCACTTAATTGAAAAATAACTGCCAAGTTCAAAACTATAATTAGAAAAAAGTATTCTAGCCATTATGTTTCAAGAGCTTAAGTTGCACTGGAACTTGTATTAAAATTAGAATCAAAGCAAACTTAAGAAAATAGGGCAAAACCTGAAATAAGACAGCTACATGTACATGAACATAGCTGTATTAATTTGTTGGGGGGAGAGTTCAGTAGCCCTAACTTTTCCTAAAGTTGTCTTTGTTTACATGGCAATTTAAAACGCTGGCACTGTTGAAGTAAAACATACACATTAAAAAAAAAAAAAAAAACTTTGGTCAGCTTTAAGAACTCAAAGCATGCTTACGTTTTGCATTCAGATGGTTAATGAATCCAGTGTTTTTGCAGTTGAAAGCTCGTGCATTCACTGGGCAAAAGCTGGCTGCAGGTTGCAGTGGCACCGCACAGGACAGACATTAATTATATTTCCCACTTTTTTCAATAATGTTTGGCTACTGTAAGTTCAATTTTTTTCTTGAAAATTTTCAATTTTCTGTTGCTTTTAATAGTGAGAACTTTGTATGAGGCGACGGGGAGGAGGGGAGAAGGGAGGGGTGCAGGATACTTGTTCTCTACTCAAAAGTTGTAAGTGGTTAGTAGGATATGCAACTTGTGTCTATTTTAAGAATCATTCTATAGCATTTTAAGAGAATATGGAAACATTTTATCAGCAAAACGCTCCTTGCTTGCAAATGAGGAGGCCTCTAGGCATTTGCCTAGAACCACAACCTTCCTCCGGTTTCGCCTTTTATTTAATCCCTGATTTTTTTTTTTTTTTTTTTTTAATTCTGAAGGGGTGACTGAGGTTTCATTTATCTTAGTGTTCCTCCTTGGTGGCTTAGGGGTTGGGTGGCACTTTCTTGGCCTTGCCAGGGTGGGGACCCTGGAGTCAGGCCTAGTTCCGGCGGGGCTGAGGTGGCCAGGGGCTCAGGCGATGGACACATCGAGCTACGGAGCTGGAGGGCCTCACCCCAGATCTCCTCGCGGTGTGGACTGTGAGAGCGAGCCAGAGAAGATGCGCAGGGCGCGTGTGGCTGCGGGAAGAGCTTCTGCATTGTGTTGGGTACGCTGCGGCGCGGCAATGTTCGCAAGCCCCCTGGATGCACATTGCCTCTTTTCTCTCTTTCTTTTTGTCAGCGGTTCAGCGAGGAAGAATGCCTCCAACCCAGCCCAATCCAGGCCAGTACGCACTCACCAACGGGGACCCCCTCAACGGCCACTGCTACCTGTCCGGCTACATCTCGCTGCTGCTGCGCGCCGAGCCCTACCCCACGTCGCGCTACGGCAGCCAGTGCATGCAGCCCAACAACATTATGGGCATCGAGAACATCTGCGAGCTGGCCGCGCGCCTGCTCTTCAGCGCCGTCGAGTGGGCCCGCAACATCCCCTTCTTCCCGGATCTGCAGATCACCGACCAGGTGTCCCTGCTACGCCTCACCTGGAGCGAGCTGTTCGTGCTCAACGCGGCCCAGTGCTCTATGCCGCTGCACGTGGCGCCGCTGCTGGCCGCCGCCGGCCTGCACGCCTCGCCCATGTCCGCAGACCGCGTCGTGGCCTTCATGGACCACATCCGCATCTTCCAGGAGCAGGTGGAGAAGCTCAAGGCGCTGCACGTCGACTCGGCCGAGTACAGCTGCCTCAAAGCCATCGTGCTGTTCACGTCAGGTGAGGCTGCGGTCGCGGGGAGGGCAGGCCACGCTGCCGGCGAGCGCAGGCCCCGCGCCGCCCGGGCCTGGCCTTTGGAGGCTCCCGCGCGGCGGGTGCGGGGCGGGCCGGGCCCTAGCCGGACACTGAGCCTGGCCCGGGTCTGCGACCCTCGCGCGGGGACCGGCCAGCCGCGCAGCTGCCATCTTGGGAGCTCGGCGGTGCGGGAGCGGAGGCGGCGCGGGTGTGGCCGGCGGGCGACCGGGCCTAGTCGCCCGGACCCTTGAGTGGGACCGCGGCTGCCGCGGATGTGTGTCTGAGGCGGGCGGGGTGGGGGGGAGCAGTGCTGTGGATCTGCCTGGCTGCGCAAGTGAGCGGGTGTTCGTGTGTGTGTGTGTGTGTGTGTGTGTGGTTTGTGTTATGTGTGAGCCAGAGCTCAGCGTTTCTGGGGGAGGCGAGGGAAGGAAGAGAACGTGGGAATGTGGCTTCTTACCTTGTGTGGCAAGCTCCTTGGATGAGTTTCCCGACATAGGGAGACACAGAGAAAGGTGGAAAGAGAAGAATACGCACAAATAAATCGTAAATAATCCCGCTTTATTGCTGCCTGATTTTCCCTTATCGGAAACCATTCATGTTTGCAGTTGCTGAGGTTATTGAGGGTCGTAAAAACAGGATTCGATCTAAACAAGAAAGATAAAAAACAAAAGCAATACTATAGAACCCGCAAGTATAGGAGGATTCCCCACCTAGAGATGAATTACAAAGCTATGCAAAACACATAAACATTGGAAATTTAACAGAGTGCCTTAAAAAATATCAAATTATGTGTAGGCAGTGGTAACATGCATGTTAACAATTTCTCTTATGATAGATGGTTCAAATTAACTTCCAGGAAAGTGCATTAATGTTTCCTTTGAAGGGCTCTGGTCTGAGCCTCTGAGAACATTGCCCGCTTTTTATTATTGTAACCTGCAAGAGGGAAATATATAAACACCCAGGACAGCAGGTAATGGGGGGAAATAGAAACAAAGCCAGAGAGAAGGCTGCTTAGACTGGATCTTGGGCCCTGCCCACTGTGAGTAGGGTTAGCTGCAGTTTTACCACCATTATTGGCACTATTGTTTTTAATTCCTCCATTCAGAGAACAAATAAACCATCCTAATAAATCTATCCTGGAGCCAGGCTTTCCAATGGCCAAATTAAAACCATTCTTGAGCAGAGATGGCAAAATCCCTTTCCTAAGGCCTTGTTGAACAGTAAGCAACGGTATAATCTATCAATATTTCTTGGCTTTCATGCGTGAAGAATCGTATTTACATTGTATTAAAATGACTCTTAAATTTGCACAATATTGTAATGTAGCAAATGTAGTATTAATATCGATCTGAACAGCAGATAATTTATTTAGACAAGAGCATCTCATTTGTATGCAGGGTGGCCAGAGCCATGGACTTGGACTGCCCCCCTTTTACTTTCAGTGCAAATGCAGGTCTGCTAGTGAGAGAGGGAGTTATTCTTTCCAAGAGGATAAAGTGCAAACCTTAAAACAAATGGAAGATTTATGGAATAGCCTCCTTGGTGTTTGAATGCATTTTATCTTAATAAGTCTTCTTGATGGAAATGTGTTTTTCAAAAGTGACAAAGAGCCTGGGAAGCAGCAACCAGGCTGCTTCAGCTCTGGCAGGCCTGGGGCCTGGCTGGCTCTCTACTACCAGGCTCTTTAGCCAAATTCATCAGGAAGCAAGCCAGTGTCAGGGAAGCTGGGGTTTCAAAATCTCATCCAGCGAGGTGTCTTGAAGCAGAAATGTGACTTGGAACTGGACAGAGGTCCTCTCAGGAAAGGTCTCCCCTCTTTTTTCCTTACTCCCCCTAAGGTTCTTTGAATCCGCCTTGACTTTGTTAATCTCATGCCCTTTCCCAGAGAGTGGTGAGGACTGTGCAGGCTGCAGGGAAACATTGTGGAATTATTCATGCTTTTCTTTTAACTTTCCATCCTAAAACATTCCTGTGAAAAGTGTTCCTTTAAAAAGTTTTCCAAAGAAGTTTCTTGAATCAAGGCTTCAAGGTGCAAGGAGTGCCTAGAAATGAACAATAACATTATTTTGTTGGAAAATTGCAAGGAGAATATCTGAAAATGGAAATAGAGCTGTCAGTAGTAATTCACCCCCACCCCCCATGCAACACATTTCCACTTTTGACTAAACTTGTTTTGATTGCTAGCCAGAAGGGAATTCATGGGAAGCCTTCTCAAAGTCATCCAACTTTTAAGCAAACTTTGAATGATGGAAAAGACAGTTTTAGACATATTGTCCAATGTGGTTTGCTCTGGCTAAGTATTTGAAGCTGGCACCGGGGTCCCCCGTGGTGGTTTTCACATTTGGCCTCCGGATGGTATGTTTAATCCTTAATATTCTGGACTCCATCCAAGGACTAGGTCATGACCTGAACTTACTTTTTTAAAAAATTCATTAATTCATACATCTAAATATTCCTTCAAATAAATGAGACTTTCTCTGAAAGGAGCCATCTAGTTAACATAAATACAATAAATCCATTTTCAGCACAATAATAACTTTGATTTCTAGTTATAGCAGCTGATAACATCTATATTTCCTGAACACTAAACTCTTCTGAATGCACAACATGAAATATATTCTCTGCACTACAAAGACTAAGCCAGGAGGGCCTGAGCAGTAATGGTTATTTATTTACATAATTTCTTTTCCATATACTGTAGAAGAAATATTGAGAGTTCCCACATTGACACTACCATATAAAAAGTGTGACATGGATTTTGCACATTCTGCCTCATTTTCTTATCTGGAGTATAACTCATGGAGCATAAATATGTACTGCATTACACTCCCTGGTCACCTAGCTTTGTCACCACAACCCCCCAGTTGATCTGGGAACTCATACCTTCTGTCCACATTTGGGGGAATCCTGTTGCAAAGGGGTGAGAGAATATTCAGACTGGGAAGATAGGCCAGAACCAGGGCTCCTGACGAAGGGAAGCCACAGAGATGGCTGGCTGGTACCTGACAGGCAGGCCCAGCTACATACATTTGTCTCCAAAGGAGGGAAGAAATGGAAGCAGTCAGCACAGGGCCCAAGCAGGCTTTTCCTGGGCTTGTCTCTTTTGGAGCCGCCTGTTTGGGAGTCAGGAAATGACCTTGTGTTCTGGGGACCCTAATTGTAAATGTCAGATAGATATTTTACTGACCTGAGGGGATGCCAGATGGATCTTAAAAAAATTAATAATCTGCTGGGGTACCAAGGAGTCCTTTTCACATTGCATTGTCTGGGGCTCAGAATGATCCATAGCATCCAGGCAGATAATGCCTGTAAAGCAAGCTATATGTAAATATGGGTTTGTGTCTGAGTGAGGGTCATTCATCAGGGCCAGGTTAGCAAGCAGGGCCAAACTCAGGGTCCCCTCTCTAAGTAGCAAAGCCCCACGGAGCTCTTGCCACCCTGGCTCTGCTAGCCGTAAAGTCTCGTTTGGCTTCCCAAATCAGACCAGTGTGGATATACCCAATTGGCTGGCTGGAGTAATTAGACATCTGAGAGGAACCTAAGTCTGTATCTGAGGTCAAAGGGGACTTGCCTCAGAAGTTCTTGAATTATCACTAGTTTTATTTGTATTTTTGCTCGAGGCCATAGCCTTGTAGATGAAGGTGTTAGAATGCTTTGTAAATCCCAGTTCTTCAAATATAAGGACAGAAAGCTCAGAAACTCAGCAGACACATGTTTTGCTTTAAATCATTTGTTGTGTCTTCATAGGTTCACACTTGCCCATTCACAATTATACAATCTCATTTTGGGGGCATTGCCATGCATGAATTTTCTTCCTAGATCTATATATTAGCAAACTCTGCCTTTGATCTCTAGTCAACCTCCTGACTGGCTAAGGGCTCCTCTGTGATCTTCCTGTTTTTTAAAAAATATTTATTATTAATACAAGAAACAAGTGGGTATTTGAACTAGGAGAGGACACCTTTACTCCATTACTCCATTCCTCTTATTCCATCTTTCCCACCCTTTGCTTGCCTCTAGTTAGTTTATACAGTATAATCTGCTGTCCTGAAATATTTTTAGATGACCAAGACAGGCCTTGGTTAACATGAGATAAGCAAACAGATTTTGAGATGCTGTCATTGTGTGCGGGTGCATTTTTCTCTCTTGGTCCTGCCACCAAAAGCTTATCTCCCTCAGGTCCCCCTCAACTCCCCACCACCCACAACCCCCCCACCCCCCAGTTCTGAAGCAGCAGCAGCTGCTGCTTGTAGCCTAGCTTTGTCTGATCACTGAAGATGTCTCCTTTCTGCAGCCTGGAGTAACTGAGTCATATTCTTTCTGATTATTATACAGCTTACAGAGATGTGACCAATTTTCAATTACTTGATCCAAGGTATAGATAGAAGTGTACACCTTCACCGAGGATTTGCTGCAGAGCCCTTGCTTGCATAGATAGTGGATCTCAAATCCTATATTGCTAAAGCATGGGCTTCATCTGATTCCAGGCATTGCCAGCCCATGATTCCTTACCCCCTCCCATGTGTTTGTTCACTACACAATCTAGGTTCTCCTTGAGAATTCTGGTTGGGGTCATTTGGGTTTGACAGGACTCCAGGAATCCTTTAAGAACTGCCTTCAGGCTGCATATTTTTAAGGGGTACTGAACACCCCCAAATCAGAGGCAAAAGGAGCAAAAGTCCCCCCTTTAATGAGCACCGCCAGCAAGATGCTCCCCTGCAGGCCGAGGACAGGTTGTTATGCACAGCAAACATGGTTCCAGCATTGTACATTATTTAATCCAAAGGTGAAAGAGGAAAAACAAAGGGACTAGAGAGGTTGCTGCCTCTGTGTGTGTGTGCCTCTCTTTTCAGCTCCCCTAGGCTTGGTGGGGGTTTGATTTATTTTTATTTGTATTGTATTGAGGGCTGGGGAGAAGGGAATGAAGAAGGGGATGGACAGGTATGGGAGGGTGAATTTTCCTTTTTTCGTTTACTTCTTTTTTATTTTTTCTTTTCTCCTTAAAAAAAAAAAAAATTAAAGGCTTGTTTGTGCCTTTGCTATTTGTCAGCCTAACCGTGTGCTCCCTTTCCCTGTCTCTCCCTCCTGTGGCTGCTTGGGCAGACGCCTGTGGCCTGTCGGATGCGGCCCACATCGAGAGCCTGCAGGAGAAGTCGCAGTGTGCACTGGAGGAGTACGTGAGGAGCCAGTACCCCAACCAGCCCAGCCGCTTCGGCAAACTGCTGCTGCGACTGCCCTCGCTGCGCACTGTGTCCTCCTCCGTCATCGAGCAGCTCTTCTTCGTCCGTTTGGTAGGTAAAACCCCCATCGAAACTCTCATCCGCGATATGTTACTGTCTGGGAGCAGCTTCAACTGGCCTTACATGTCCATCCAGTGCTCCTAGACCTTGGGCGCTTCCCACTTGCCCCCCTCCCCCCCGTCCCCCTAGAGACTCAGAGGACCCACCTGGGCCAAGGACTCCAAAGCCGCGGGGACACCGGGAGGTGCAGAGGCCCAGGCAGGCCAGGTGGGAGGGAGGAGGGCCGAGGCAGGAGCAGCCTACCCAGCAGAAATGCAACCCGAGCTGCAAAGCATGGGAAAAAGAGACTCTTTTAGAATCAGGTCTGTGAGCACCTTGGGGAAGAAAAAAAAAAGTAAAAAAAAAAAAAAGAAAAAAAGAAAAAAAAAAAAAGAACCTTGTGTCTGTCTGGTGAAAAAAATTTTGGAAGAGAGAACCATGAGAATTTAATAAAACAGAAGGAAACTAATGGACCTTCCTGGATTTATTGTGGACGGATGTGGATATATTCTGTACAGAAAACAACACATATGGAAGTGGACTGAATCCTATGTAGAAACACACCCACACTGAACATTGTTATTCATTTTGTAAAATACTAGTCTTTATTTTCATTTTTTTGTAAAATTTAAACATCGTATGCGCATAAAGAAAAAGGAAACAAGAATTAGGGGAAAATAACATTTTCCAAATAATTATAAAAAATTGTCCTGTGTCTATGTATCTATATCTGTTTTGTATTTTTTTCTGGTTCCAAACCAGATTTCCTGTGATTCTATACTAATAATTTTTGATATAACCCTTTGCTTCTTATAATGAGTGCGATATATGTTGTCGAGGCTGTTCTTCAAGAATTAAAATTGAAGTGAAAATTTAAACAAAAATAAAAGAATTTAGCAAAACCCTTGTGTCTGGTTGCTTGATAGATGTTATCTGTGCAAGAGAACTCCTTGCTTAATTTCCACCTCAACTACTGTTAGAATTTGGGGTTTTGGTGTGTGGAAGGGGAGACTTTTAAAGTCTACTACCAAGTTAGTTAGATTCATTTTCTAAAACCAAGCTGCTACCTTGGTTTTGTAAATGTGGAGGGCCAGGCTGTACCTGGACTGAGGTCGGCGGGGAGGGCAGGGCGCCTTGGTCGTTGACTTCAATTATTGAGACCTTGCTGGCTGCAGGCGGCCAGTGCTCAGCTGGGCCAGGGACTGGGGCAGGCAGGGTCGTGTGCCGGGTGAGCAGCACCGGGGCGCAGCCTGCTTTAGTGTCTGATGGCGGCAACCGGGGCTTTACTGCAGGTGGGAACTTGGTGAGCTGGAGAAACTACAGTGGGGCATGGAGAGCTGGAGGTGGGGGTGACGGGAGCCGGCCGTTCAGACGCTACTGAGCCCTACGCTGGTAGATCTCGCCTCTCTCCAGCTCTGCTAGACGGTTGGGGCCTCAGCGCTTAAGTCCTGGCTTTGCTCCCGCTTATGGTCCGCTGAAGAGTCAGGTGCGGTTTGCCCTTCACTTCAGACCCTGCGACATGGGTTCCCAGAAGGGTCCTGGAACTCGGATGGGTGGAGGGAACCCCTCCCTGCCCGGCTCTTGGCATTTAGGGAGGTGGACCCAGAACCTGGGAGTCAGAGGGCTGGAGCGGGTTCTTCACAGAAGAGGTATTTGGGCCCTAGTGGCCCTTTGAGGGCAGAAGCCTCCCCCTGAGGCCTATCGGTGGGTGTGCTTGGGGGGCAGCTCTCTGCAACAGCTTTCGGAGCATGAATGTTTTATAGGATCAGAGCCGGCGCTGCGAGAACACATACTGCCAAGGGAGCTCTTTCTTAACGTATTAATAAAGCCAGATCTTTTAAAATAACACCTCTCACCCCTCCCCCTTGCCTCAGCCCCAAACAGGCCCGGATGAGGAAAGAGCTTCACTTTCAGAAGTCTCTGGCAATGTTTTGCTTTCAATGTACTATCTAGAAGTCTCCCCGTCCCCTCCCCGGCATTCCCCCCCCCACCATCACCAAATGCATTAACCAGTCCTACACTCCAACCCGCTTGTGGTTTTTAATATTCTGGGTGCAGCACAGCATGGGCAGTGCCGCACTCTCTGTGGACAAGGCACCGCAGGCCCATGATCGCAGGCTGGCCCGCCTGGGGACCAGCCAGAGCTAGAGCGGCCAGGCGGATAGGATATGGAGCCACTTGGGGCCCCTTGTTTCTCTGCAACCCACCCAGGAACAACGTTTTTGGGCCTGTGTTGATTTCCCTGCAGGTTGGACACCTAAGGCAGGAGGGGTTGGGGAGAGCCCAGAGTTAACCCCCCTCCCAAGAAGACTCAGGGAGCGCCACTGGCTGCGGTATCCGGACTGGGGTGGAGTGGGCTGCAGCCAGGGCTCAGAGGGGGAGGGGAGCCGAGCTGCCTCGGAGAGCTCAGCGCTCTTTTCTGCCTTTCTTGAAATGAGATGTAAATATATTCATTACAGTGTGATCCCTCTGATGAAAACAGATAAACATTTTCGTAGGTAGGAAACGTATTTTTCAATTAATCTCAGTATGGAGGCCCAAGCGCAAGGAGCCCAGTGTGGAGACTGGGCCGCCAGCAGCAGTAGCCCGAGATGTACACCCGCGCTTGCTCCAGTGTCCAGAGGTGACAGCGGTTAACTTGGCTCTTGATCCTCGGGGCTGGAACGTTGCCCTTGATCTGGGAATCTCAGCGACCTTTCTAAGCCTGGGCTCAAGCCTGGGACCCACCCTCGCAGCCTAGGAAGAAGTGCAGGCCCTCCTGTGGCCGCCCAGCCTCCCTTCCTCCCGGGCTCCTCTAGGAGCAGGAGGCCCTAGGGCTGAGGGGAAGGGAGAGGCGAGGTTTCTCCAGTGCTCCACAGGCCCGTCCTCCCCCCCGCCCTCCCCGCAGTGGGTTTCTCCTCTACCTCTTCTGTGACTGGGGTGGCCCCTGCCTGCGTTACCCACAGAGAGACAGTCCTGTTTCCAGGACCGGAGGTCTCTGTGTGTCTCATCCAGAGAGAGACAGAGCTCCCTGGAATCAGGGATCATGTGGGCGTCCCCGCCAGGGCGAACAGGTTACAGGAGCCCTTGGCTTTCCTTCACAGAGAGGGCAGACAGGACTCGGAAATCTTCATGTGCTAAGGAGAAATTTGGGAGTTGAGCCTTCTGATAACTGGGAAATACCCTCTGCTATCGGCTCCGACGATGTGCGATGTGAAGGCTCCCCCTTCCCACACGCGGTGGGCTGACAGTGGCCAGTCCTGCGGGCTGAGGGCGGAGCGACCCGGGGTTTCCTTGTAGTGCGGAGGGACAGGACCCAGTAGAGGCCAGGCTGCCCTGGGTTCAGCGTCCTGTGCCTCCCCAGTTCCCGGTTGCCGCTGTGGCCCAGGACCTGAGTGGGAGGCGAGTAGCTGGGAGCCTCCTCTGCTTGGGTGGCCTCCAGAGAGTTCCTGAGCAGTGAGCCCACCTTCACGTGGGGCTCCAGGGGAAGCCGTGGAACCGGAGCTTGAGGGCACCAGCAGGTGTTGGCCGGGCAGTCACCGTGGGCTTGCAGCCACACCTCGCCTGCAGGGGCGGTGGCAGCCCTAAAGATTTAGGAGAGTAGGGCTGGGCTAACTGGGCCAGGTAGAGCCCGACCCCTTTCCCAGGGCCAGAGGAAATTCGTCTTAACAGTTGGAGGGCGGCCCACACTGGGTGACTTCCCTCTCGAAATCACCAGTGACTTAGGAAAGTGAAACGTTCGCTGTTCTAATCCAAAGGCTTCTTGGACAACTGAGAACTTTAGGGGCTTTGAAGTCTGTTTAAACTTCCTTAGCCACAAGCTTTGCGGAAAACATCAGAAAGACCATCTTGGGTAGTGCTCTTCTCTGGGAATCGCTAGGGAAGGAGTCTGCACCCTATCCGCTGCCAGAGGACAAGGACTCACACTAGGGGGGAAAAGTGTGACCTTTGTCCCCACATGCACATCCCAACCTGGGACCAGGCAGAGTGGAAGCCCATAGTGGGAATGCAGATCCCTCCTGCCCACCAGGAGAACTATGAGCTTTGAGAACCCCACCACTCCGGATGGTCCAGGCTCTCGGCCTCTGGCAGCCACAAGGGTCTTGGTTGGCTCACAAGAGGCCCAACCACCCAGCTTTGCATTCAGGGGTGATGGGGATCTGGAGTCCCCTCTGTATGAGTCCACCTGAGCTTGTCTGCTTGAAGCCTGTAAGGAGGTGGGGGGGTTTTGTTTTTAAAAATCTTTCTTCTCTTCTTCCACTCGTAGGCACTCCTTAGGACTCCTACAGTGGCAGAATCGCCTCCTGTGAGCTCTGCATTTCCTCAGAACAAATCACCTGAATGTCTCTGCAAATAGCAGACCATGAGGATCGTGAGGAGTGGAGGGGACACAAGTGGGAACTAATAAAACTCTTGTTAAAGGGGCCTGCTCAGGATCTGTGGCTTCACTGGGCCTTTTACTTGGGAAGCCAAAGAGTTGTATTCCTAAATGAGTTAAAGACCCATTTACCTCTGTCGTGTCCTATTCATCAAGCCACAAGTTGAGAGTTCCTAACATGAAACTATTTGTTTGCTTACACAACCAGCTGGGCGCAATTTCACGTCTGAGATATCTATCTGAAAGCGCCTCTCATTTATTATCTCTCCTTGTCAGCGAATCCATTTTCCAGCTCCCCCTCCCCACTTTGGAGTTTATTTATTTATTTATTTATGGTGGGACTTCTTTGCCTGGGAGAACCTGGGGTTGGAATGCTCCCCCGGGAACAACCTCTCCCTGCACGGGGTCTGTGCGCCCAGGTCCTGGGGACCAGGGACTGGCAGAGGCACTCCCGTGGTCACAGCTGACCCCGGCTAGCAGGGGAGCCGGGGTGTGGGGTGGGTGGTGAGTGGTCCTGCCCAGACACTGCGAAGCTGCCTTTCTTCTTGGATGTCCTCTCTACTAGCTCTTCCTGTGTAAGCCTCAACCACCTGTACGAGGAGGGGGTTGGGGGTAGGCCCGGGAAGCGAATCCAGGAGCCTTTCTCCGAGAATGGGGGCCGACAAACGAATTTGAGAGATGCTTTCACAAAGCCTCACCAAGTCCCATAGGGCCAATTTCTTCTCCCGGGGCCGGAGCGCAGAGTGAGTAACCAAGATGTAAACAGTTGCGTGATGGGTTGGGGGGAGGGGGCAGCGCATTTATTGTGTGTGCGGAGGGGAGAAAGCTGCACGTGGTTTCAATTTTGAAGCACAAAGAAATAACATGCAATGCAGAAAATAGGTTTATGAATGTAATTGAGAGGAAAGAAAACAATTAACACCGTGCAAGGTTGCACACTCCATTCCCCACCCCTCGCCTTCTCTTCTACCCCAATTTTGAGAAATTCGGATCATGTGAATAGAGTGGCTCTAGGCAGTTGGATCCGGCTGACAGGGAAACCCCTGATGGGGATCTCAGTGATGGCTGGATAATGGTGTCTATCCATCTCCTGGTCTGCGAAGGCCTCCTTTAACCAAGCTGAAAGCAGGGGATCAAATCCCCAAGTCCAGCATATAAAATACCCCCAGCTGAAAAGAAGGGAGGGAGAAGGGGCGCCTGCAGGAGAGAGGGAAAAGAGAAAGAGATAGCGAGGGATTTCTTTAAGAAAGACCAGACTGGTCTCTGCAAGCTATCCTATTGTGTTGATTTAGGAAGACATTTGCTGTATATAATGTTTAAGGCTGATAATATCATTGCGCAGCCAGATAAATGAAGCGTTGGCCCAACCGTGGGGTCAGCGATCGATCTCTGGGCTCAGAGGAAAGAGGAGAGAGACAGGGTCGTGCACGAGGCTCTGTCTGTGTGCTTGTCAGTCGGCATGCAGGAGCCCGAGTGTGTGTGAGCGTCAGGGTGTGCGAGAGAGAGAACCAAGTCTTCAGCTGGCCAAGAGGCTCATTAGCATTC